CTTTCCTTCACTCATTTACATGCTTTTGCTTAATTATTGATCTTGCTATGTTTTGTGCATTGTATATTGAATAAGTGTGGGGGAGAAACCATTTCAGTAGTATAGTAATGTAGTTGTTGTTTGAATTCAATAAGATCCCCTGCAAGTTCTGATCTCTATCCTATCTCATTTTGTGCTTGTTGGTAATATGGTGCTTGTAATGAATTATATGAATCAAATTGATTGAGAAAGCTTGTTTGTGGTATACTACTTAATCATAGACTTATTGAGCACCTTTTGATCTCTTTTGATGCACTTTAAAGTTTTTGAAGTATCCAGCTACCTCTGTTGTTTGTGTGTTGTGTTTCTCTGTTGTTTGGGTGTTTCTGTGTTGTTCTGTGCGTCTCTGTGACACTTCGCCGCAGCAAACCTAAGCCTTCACTGCGGCAAAGTGGTTCGTGTCTGTTAGGTTGCTCTCTGTGACCTTTCACTGCGGCGAACTCCAGCCTTCACCGCGGCGAAGGTCGTCGGCTTCTGGGTATTGCTCTCGGGATGGTTTGGCCGTGGTGAACTTCTACCTTCACCGCGGTGAAACCTCTTTTTCTCCTTTTGCTTTTTGTCTCAGGAAGGGTTCGTCGCGGCGAACCTGTACCTTCACAGTGGCAAACTCACCATTTCAGCGCTGATTAGTTTCGTTTTTACCCTATTTTTCCTTGTGAAATTCCCTTTTTGCCCCCATTTCTGACTCGCCCATTCTATTATCTTAAACTCATTTCCGTCTTTTCCCTTCCCCATTCCATTAACCCCCCTTCCCCACTTATCCTTCAGTTTCTTCACCTAAAAACCGTCACCCCCCACTAAAACCGTCGGTCCCCTATATTTCTGAAACCGCTCCCCTCTTCACTTTCAAACTTCAGAACTGTCAGCCTTCCCCCTTTTCCGTTCCTCTCCTGCGCCCCTTCCTCTCTTTTCTCTACTCATTCTCCCTTTTCTCTTCCTCTGTTCTCCAGTCTGCGCTAAAGCCCTCTTCCTCCTTGGTTGTGGTATGGTTTTCTCTCTTCCTTTGTTCTTTCTTTTCTTTTATTTCTGTTTAGTTGTTAATTTGTTTATTTGTTCTGCTATTGTGTTGTTAGGTTGGGTTATTTTGATGTTAGATTGTAGTTACGTAGCCCTTAGGCTTTCTAATGATTCATGGTGCATTTTGTATTTCTTTAATCTCTTTACATAATTCTGAAAGTTTTTGATAAACTGAAAACCTATGAATCATTACATAGCCATTTGCTACTATCTAGGTTGTGATTTTGGTTTTTCTGGGGTAGTGTTCGTTGCTGTTTGTTTGGCCTTTGTTTAGTGTGTTTTGCTTGTGTTTAGAGTATGCCTCGTACTAAGAACCCTGCGCCTGTGTCTGAATCTGATTCGGGGGATGAGTACACTTTTGAGGAGTTATACCGAAAGATTGACCAGAGACCCCTCCTTAAGGAGCGACCTTTTCCCTTAGACCCCCCTGATCACCCTTTTGTCTGCCAGCTCGGTGCCTCTCAATTGACCGGTTTGGTCTAAGAGCGTTCTATAGGTAATGATGCTTTTGTTTGCCATTTTTACACCTATGCCCGTTTCCATGGTTCCATGGTCGCCGACTTCTACAATGTCCTTGTCCGCCATTCTTTTACCGCTGACAACATCCGTTTCCATCACCACCTTCCCCCTTGTCACCATTCGAGTTATTCGGCTTACAGAGACAACTACCCTTTTGATGATGTGGTCCAAACCTTGTGTCATGACAGAGCCACTTGGTATCGCCCCCGCACTTCTGAGCAATACCTCAAGCGATCCGAGTTCTGACCTGAGGCTCGCACTTGGCTGCATTTTGTCTGCAACAACCTAGTACCCACCAGCCACCTAGCCAATGTTCCAAAACGCCAAGCCCTTTACATTTACCTTCTTATGACTGGCCGATCCTTTGATGTAGCCGACACCATTTACTCAGCCCTCCATGATGCCATCAACACCCCCAAACTCACCAACAGCATCATTTTTCCCCACCTAGTCACTGACCTTTTTAGAGCTGCCAATGTCCCTGAGTACAACAATGACAACTACTTTGAGCCAGCCCCTTTGTTTTGTTATGACTGCCTTAAACAGCCTGTCATTAGACCCCCTCCACCCATCCACCCTGTGTATGATGTTGGCACAGCGCATGCAGCTGGTGCACCAGCTCCTGAAGCTCAAGAAGAACAGCAAGATCCAGAAGCTCCTGAACCTGTCACCTTGGACACTTGGCTGATGATATTGATGAGCTGGCAAACCATGTCCACTAGTTGCGAGTCACCCTCCTCCGCGAGATGAAGAGGCAGAAGGACTGCTATGCTCTGTATGATCGAGACCGATGTTATCGCCGTCGTGTGTATGCTCTGATTGCTAACCGGTTGAACTTCATCCTACCTCTCGAAGAGGAAGACCCTCAGAGCGGAGCTGGGACATCTGGAGCAGGCACTTCTGGTGCAGGACCATCTGGGTCTGGGGCGGATAATACTGGGACACAGTCGTAGCTCGTTGTTTGTGTTTTGTTTTCTTTATTGTTCTTTTTGTTTCTTTTTAGTTGGTGTAGCTGGTTACTTGTTAAACCTTTTGGATGTTACATTGGATGTTGTTTGACTCTTTGGCTATTGATGGCCTTTACATTTTGCTGTTACTCTTACATTGGTCCTAACTTCTATTTTCCTTTTCCTCTTTGCTTTGCATGCAACCTATCACCTTCTCCCTTCTCTTTGTGAATTCGATGTGTTGTGCTTCAATTTCAATTGGACTTCACAACTTCCGATTCACTTTGTGATTTGTTTGCCTATAATGCTTTAAACATTGAGGACAATGTTGTGTTTAAGTGTGGGGGAGGGACTTATTGTGGATTCTAGCAAATAATTCTCATGCATCTATGTATCTATTTGATTTTGAGGTGTTTTTGAACTGATAAATTGGTTGAATTGTGAATGTTTTGAACTTAGTTTTCTAAAGAGTTAAAAATTGAACTGAATACTACTCTTTGTCACCTTTCGCCGTGGCAAACATTTGATTTCACCGCGGCGAAACCCCTCTTGTCAACATTAATTTAGCTCTCAGCCACACTTCACTGCGGCCAACTTATGTTTCACCGTGGTGAAGCAGGCCTTTTCTCCAGGTTTTGCTCTCTGTGAGCTTTCACCGTGGCAACCCCCATTCTTCACCGTAGCAAACCCAAAAAAGAATTTTTAAAAAAAATATAATAATATTAATAAATAATAAATGCTTTGCAAATTCAGTTGCTCTTCAGAAATTTTTCCTGCTTAGATTCTTTATGCTCTTGCATCCTTTTTAAACTGATGGAAAGTTCAAATTGTACTTGTGCTGTTAGAAAACTTTCCATGCTTTTAAATGAGGGTTGAACTTGGGCTAGTTATTCTCATGTTTTTGATAGATAGTAAATGATGATATGCTTTGAAATTATGACTGTGTGGTTTTTAACCCTTGAGATTGATTAATTGAGATTTTAGTCTTGTTGGAAGGATTTTTAGGCCTAAAGTTATTAAATTGAGTGAATCTGCTTATTTCATATTTCTCTAGAACTTGTTTTAATTCTTAATCGAAGCTTAGTGAATCAAGTTTTTGTAAAGATGATAGAGGCATTCGTTTTTAAACCCTCACTTCCCAAACACAAACCCAATCATTTTACCATTGTAAACCCTTTTGGACCTTCATCTTGAGTATATGCATGCAATTATTTTGTCATTATTTTATCCTGCAAAAAAAACGAGGAGAGTTGCTTAAAAAAAAGAAGGAGAAAAATAAAAAGAGAAAAAGAAAAGAAAAGAATAGATAGAGAAATAAAAATAATAAAAATAAAAATAAGTAGCTTCTCTCTTTATGTTTGTTTAGGATAATTCTGTTTTAATAATTTGTATGCTTGTACTCATTTCCATTTTCATTCTCATTCCATTCATTTCATTTGGCCTTCATTCAAATTCTAACCCCTAAAAGTCCTCTTGATTTGCAAAGTTTGCTTCTTGTGGTGGAGAGGTAGAATTATTACAAGCCTATGGTAGAAATTGGATTGAGTAGACTTAGAGTGAAATAATCCCAAAACAAGTGAGTTAAGAGTGAAACACTTATCCATAAGATAGATCTCTTTTGATCAATCTTTTGAGTTAATTGTCCATTGTGCTTATTTTCTTAGCATATCCTTGTTTTACTGTTGTCAACTCTTATGAGAATTTCTTACTAATCTTCTGCTTTCATCTTTAAGCATGGTAGTGCTTCTCTTTGTGCTGGTATCTCTTTGAACTTTGTCCAAGAGTACAAAGGTCTAAGTGTGGGGGAATTTGATCGAGCTCAAATTATTCTTATCTTTTTATTACCTCATCTATGGTTTTGTTGCATTTTCTGGCTTTTAGCTATAATTGAGCTTATTTTAGATCAAGAGTCCTTGCAGCGAGTGTAACACCTTACTTTTAACATACGTAATAGGCTCAGCGGAAGTCTTTGGAAGCATTTTGGATGGTCACAAAGTTTGGAAAACATAGAAAATTTTAACCCTTTCTCGGTTTACTATTCACTTTTGCTTAAAAAGTGACCAAACTTTAAAAATTCATATCTCGAGCTACAGAACTCGAAACTGAGTGCTTCCAATTTCTACGGAAAGCTTATTCCATATCCTTTTGAGGAAAAATACTTTGAGAATTTATTTCCTTGAAAATCAATACCAGTTTCGTTTTGAAAAGTTACTGTTCATTTGGTCAATTTTCCATTTTCCACTTTATTTTAGCCCAACTTTGGAAGGGCATAACGTTTTGCGTGGTTATCGGATTTCAGTGATTCAAATCTCATATTGCAGATAAAAATACAAGCTATCTGCTCACCGAATCCTAGGTCCTAACTCACTCATATGTGGACTTTGACTTTGGTCAAAGTTTAAGCCTTAAAGAGTTGACTTTTATCCCCCTTGGAAGGATAAAGTCTCTCTTTGGACCTAGAGCTATCATACCATCATATAAGCATGCAAATAACTTCATAATAACATCTAGCATGCTTTTCTACCATGCATGAAGACATAAACCCTAAAACATACTTTAATTACATAACTTTGCAAATAGGGTTTTTCTATGTCTTCTTGAATTTCCAACTTCTTCAAGATACTTTACCTTTTCTTCTTGGCCACCTCTTTGCCCTTGCTCTTGGCTAGTGAAGGCCCTAGGGTTTTGTTAAATATGGGGGGTAAGATTCTTGGGAATCTTAGTAGTAATACATCACAATTATGGTTACAACTTAACATGTCATTTAGCTATATGCAAACATACACATAAACATGTGACTTGCCATGGAATTTAAACACATAACATTATCATATCATGACATAGCATATCATCTCCATGTATCAACATCATAACATAAAAATCATGGAGGCATCATGGCATAAAATAAAGCATACATAGCATAAAATGAACATGTATGTAACACTTATAAATAGGATGTAAAACTACCTTTACTTGGCTCTTTTTCCTCTTCCAAACCGTGGCCCTTCTTTGAGGTTGTATAAAGCCTATTTAACAACCAACAATGCCACTTAGATCATTACATAAACCCCATAATTTAACTCTAGCTCAAAACCCTTTTATCTTGAATTTTGGCCTAACTTTCTTAACTTAATTCTTGAAACTTTTAAGGGCTAATCCTACATGATTTTTCATGTAGAATCCAAATATGGAATTGGTTTTATGAAATTCCATTCCCTCCTTAAAATTTCTCTAGGCCGTGACATGTAGGGACTTAGGGTTCCAAAATCCTTTTAAAAATTCAAGCTTCCAACTTTGCTTTCTTGGTGTATTTATACACAACACCATTTTCTAAACTCATTGGAAGCACCAATTAAAATCAAAACATTTTCCTTTGTAAACCCTACTTAGGCCGTGACATAGCTCAAAGTGAAAGGGAAGGATTTTTCATGAAAAGCTCTTTGAAATCTCTTGATTCAAGCCCTTAAACAAGCTTTAATCTTAACCTTAAACCTTTTGAACTAACTTTCATCATTTTTAGGAATTTTGGACAGCACCTCCCCTAGGTTTTATCCATCCAAAATTCACCCAAAGATGAGGAGAAACTAAGAACAAATGAACTAGGGAAGAAGAGAACACTTACTTGAACTTCGTCCTAGCTTTTCCTCTTGGTTCTCTCTTCTTTCTCCCTCTTGGAAAAATTTTTCCATAGTTTCTCTTCTCTTTTCTCTTGTGCCGTGAATGCTCCTCCTTGGTGTCTATTTATAGACAAAAATTAGGGTTGAACTATTGGTTATTTGCATAAAGGTCCTTGGTGCAAGATTACATCCTAGCCTTTCATTTTGTCTTGATCTTGAACTTGGCTCACATCAAGCCACGTTTCAAGCTTTGTTTCCACTCAAGACAAGTCATCTTTCATGGTTCTAATTTAACCACAACTCATTCTTATCTTAGTGCTATAATAGCCTCTTAATATGGTCACATGTTGATTTTATTACATGGTGGCAAATGAAAACACATTTCATACTTCCCTTCCTTTCCTTTCTCTTGATATTTTCTCAAGACAATCTTGCTCTTCAAGCCACTAAAAATGACGCCATGCACCTCTCTTTCTTGCCTCTTTTGTTGACTTAATTGCTTGACACACAAAGAGACACAAAGGCTTAATTTCCTTGGTTACAAACTAACCAAATCTAACTTAATTATTTGGTTATAATCTAACCAAATCATAACTATTTCCTTAACCATAATTGGACCATAATTCATCATCTTTTCTTGGGCATTAATTAATCATATATTTATGCCAATTTTCGTAATAATTATTAGGCATAATTTATGTCACATGATTTTATCACATAATGACATATTTTGGCCTTAATTAATCAAGGTTAATTCCTTTAATTACCTTGACCAATTTTCTTAATCCTCTTTGACTTTTTTTTTAAAGTCAATATAATCTATTTTTGACCACTTAAATTCTCCAAAACACTTGTGGCACAAACCTTATTAAATTAATTAGGGATTAACTTATAATTAGGTTACAAAATAAAAGTCAACTCCCTTGGTCAACATTTTATTTTTACCTAATTTTTCCCTAATTATTCCATAAATCCATTTTCTTCATAAAAATCACTTTTGGGGTTTTATTAAATATTTTCGTACCCCAAGCTTCCGGAAAATTCACTTATTCCTGAATGATTGTCCGTTTAATTTATCGGTAACCCGATAAAATCCACTGTCTCAAAAATCATATATCAGATCCCCGTAATTTTCTCCTTATTACAAGGGTGATCCATGATTTACCTGAGAATTTTCTGAACTCTCAGTTGCTCAGAAATCCCATTCCTGAGAAATCGGGCTTTCTACCGATAAGAATTCTACCGTAAAATCCATTATCGTACTTCTGCTCATCAATTTGGGCTGGAACTAATTTTTGAAATTACTATAATTCTCAAGGGATTTTCCATAATTTTCCCGAGAATTATTGAGGTCCCTGGGTATTTTTACCAAAATACCCCTAATTATTTCAGTCCAAATATCCGGTATTTTTGACTGTCCCGGAAAATTACAGAAAAATTCTCATAATTCTTTTAGACCTCAAGTATCATTGTTTGCTATTTAGTTTCCTTTTTACAGCCCTTCTGGAAATATTGAAATTTCCATTATCCAATCTTATCAGATAATTTTCCCCTATCTACCGGTGTCCAATTTACACCAGCCAGATATTTTTGGGACTTTCTCATCATCCTTAACATTCTTCTCACATCAATTCTCCATTACGGGCTACTTCATTTTTGACCCGTACTTTCAGGGCTATTAGGGTTACAAAATTCGGGATGTTACAGCAAGTTAGTGTCTTTTTTAGGGTAAAATCGTCATAATTAGTTATTAATTATATTCAATTAATTTTTAGGACAATTGATGCCTTAAATTGTTGCTTTTCAATGTAGGACACCTGAGATTGGAGCCAAGATTGAAGATTCAAGGCACACAAGCAAAGAAGAGCCTCTGCCATGGTTCGCTGCGGCGAACCCCTCGTATCAGCACATTCAGACCGACCATTTTGGAAAAATTTGACTTGCCCACTTTTATGAACCGACCCAGACACGTCATATTCGGGTTAGAAACCCTATTTTCGGTATGAATGAGGTCACACACTGATATTCAGCCACCATCCACGTTTTTCTCTTCATCTTCTCTCATCTCTCCCACCAGAACCCTAATCCCTCACCTTCCACTGTCACCTTCATCCATGGGCAACACTGAGTCAACTTCAATTGAGATGTTTCTGCACACCATGAGTGGCTAGGCCTCCTCCAGCTCTTGAAGATGAATGATTGGCATGAGTTCTAAGAGCTTAAAAGGGGAGTTTCAGTTTTATCTTAGTTTTAGCTATGTATTTATGAATTCTTAGGTCTAGGATTTGTAAATTCTTAGTGAAAGACTTTGATTGATATGTAATCATTAGTTGATGATTCATATTTGTAGTTGGATTGGTTAATGTTGGATTTCATGTTTCAATATATGTAGTTACATATATGTTCTTTGTAGCTTTATTGATTCTTTTCATCTTGCATAGTCATGTTTTGATGATGAGTTGATTTTCTATTGCATTGAACCTTTTGCATTAATCATTCTTAATTACACATTAGCGAAGCTTAACAATGTTTTCATTAATGAGTTCATTAATATAAGCATTGGACTCAATGAGTTATTGAGGTTGTTATCAAGAAAACCTAATGAATTTCTAAAACTCCCACATCTTAAGAGAACTATGATTGCCAAGAATCCATTTTCAAGAGCTTTTATTAATTGAGTCAGTACTTGATTTCCTTCCACTTCATCTTAATCTCCCAAAAATCCAAAAATACATTTACATTCTTTTGTATTTTCACTACAAAAAAATATGTCAATTGTAGCGGTTAGAGTGAAACATTTCTAGCGGTTTTAACCGCAACAAATACAATTTGTAGTGGTTAAAAAAACCGCTAGAAAACCAGGCGCAAGAAAAAATTTCTAGCGGTTATGGCAACCGCTACACATCATAGTCAAAACGCTAGAAACTTTCTAGCGGTTTTTAACCGCTAGAAAATGTTCAACGGAATAAAATTTATAGCGGTTTTATAACCGCTAGAAACATGCTAAACCATATTGCCAGGAATTAAATAATTTCACGCCGAAATTTCTAGCGGTTAGAGAACCGCTAGAAATGTTTGGGAAATTAAATTTTCCCGCCAATTAAATTTTTGGAATGGCGGCAAAAAAATTTTCTAGCGGTTAAAACCGCTAGAAATTTTGACGCAAAATTTAAATTTGACAAAATATTTCTAGCGGTTTGGAACTGCTAGAAATGTTTACCGTGCCAGAAAAATAATTTATGGTTTTTCATATTATAATTTTAAAAACCATTAAATAAATTATGTTGAAGAATTTTGTTAATTTGTATAATTAGTTATATGTTACATTTTATATATTTAAATTTTGTAATAAACAATATGTAATTAAATTATGAGTGTGTCAAAAGAAGTGAATTTAATTTAATAAGATAATTGAATTGAATATTTAATAAGATAGTTGAATTGAAGATGATATATTTTGTAATATTGAACCTATAGTGTTAGGTTGAGGAGTATTTGAGGAGGGTATGACAAGTGTGAAGCAGAAAAATCTGAAAGAAAAGGAGAAATAAATATGTTAGTAAATTTTAAATAAAAACAAATAAAAGATACAATGAATTATGAAATAAAATTCACTTACCATACAGTAAAGAGAAAGAAACCACCATATGAGATAGTAAGAAAAAAAGAGAGAATTATGAAGAAGAATAGGAGAGGAAAGAAAAGAGATGGAGTAAATGAATGTAGAGAAGATATGGTATTTATAGGGATCAACGACACATTTGTAGCGGTGTTTTTGTAGCATTTTATTGCATTTTATAGCTGTTATTCATTTTCTGGCGTAAGCCTAGTATTTTGTAGCGGTTATATTTGTAGCGGTTATTAACCGCTACAAATTTTAATTTTGTATAATAAAATTGTAGCGGTTATTTAACCGCTAGAAATTTAAATTTTTTTATTTTTTAAAAATCTGAATGAATTTTAATTTATAGATATGTATTTGTAGCGATTAATAACCGCTACAAATTATAATTTTGTATAATAAATTTGTAGCGGTTATGTAACCGCTACAAATTTAATTTTTTTTATTTTTAAAAAAACTGTACGAATTTTAATTTATACATATGTATTTATGGACAAAAAAGTTTTTTAATAATTTATTTTGGATGCTGCTATTCTCCATCATCATCCGGCCTGAAAGGACACATTTTAAAAAAATTTGTTAAATTTATAATGTATTTGGAAAAAATTAGTAATTAGTAGTTAATTATTTAAATAATTTAAGAAAAGACGTGTACCTGATAATTGGCAAATTATCATCTCCTTGAGGAAAGAAGTCTTCAAAATTGAGGGTTGGAAGGGTTCACTGTCGTAAATAATGTCACCATCACCCATATCATAAAGATCCCGTGGCTTGAGGTGAACGACCATATTCCAGTCTTTATGTTTCTCGTCCTCGACATAGTAAATTTGGTGTGCCTCAGAAGCAAGGATATATGGCTCATCATCTTCAGATGCCCCCGTATGAATAAGTCTAGAGAAATTAACTGAGGTGATGCCCAAATGGTCAGTAGCGAGTCCCCGTGAAGTTGTCGTATTTGCCCAGGAGCACTTGAACAGTGTCACGGTGGAAAGCTGGTAACTCAACTCAATAATGTCAATTAGCTTTCCATAGTAAGTGA